CCCAACCCTCCCCCTTGAAAACTACTAATGTGTCTTTCTCGTTCCTTTCTAGTCGGACAAGGAAGGAGCAACGTCCATGGCAAACCCATTGTATCAAGATCCTTACCTTGAAGAAGACCTAAACAAATATTGAACAAAGAACACAAACGTCAAAAATGCTGAAAACGAGACTAGAAGAACATTGCTGTCTTAGTTAGAAACCTTTTGCAAAAAGTCTTGGAACATTTAGTCAGTACATACATATAAGATCTATTGATTACTATTTCTTAAATCACTGCTTCCTAGAAAATATTTTTATCACTGTGATGAGTTCAAATATTGGCAGATAGCTTGTTATTATTTTTTTAATTTGATATTATTTTTTTTACTTATTCTTCAGCGAGGGAAAATGTAGACGCATTTCTGACCAGATACATTCTTCTTTTTTACCGCTTACTAAGCCGCAATAAAAGAGCTATATTTTAAGCTTTTCCTTGCTAGGTTTTGATATCATTAATTTTTTTTTTAATGCTGCCTTTGAGAGGGAAGCTTTAGTTACCAATTATCTTGTGTGATAATCCGAATAATTCATTTGATAAGGTCTGCTTGGATCAAGATAATTTGTAGCGTAGCAGAAAAAAAATTTTCAACAGTACACTTTCTTAATAAACTTTCTAGATTTTCTAAGTGCGTCCGTCTTTATGTGTTTGTTTTATTTTAATTTTGTGTCCAAATGGTACATAAAGAGTGCTCTCCTGTCCAACAAAAAATTATGATTTTTATTTTGACTTTCAACTTTTTCGTGTTTTTTTTTTGCTCAACAAGGTGAATTGGGAAACCACCGCGAAGCATTTAAGAATGTTCTGTCACGCGCCAAGTTTTCTCACCATGCAGAGGCATTTATTATCAATTGATTGAACAGCTGAGAAAACTCGAAATCTAAGAGGCTACAAAAACGTGTTTATTAACATAAAGGTTAAACTACGGATCTAAAAGAGGCCATAGACGCCTTCCTTGGTCCCTGCCTGATTTTCAAACACTTCAGTCGCTTGTTGCTTTCACTGCAAACACGTGGTCCTAAAAAACGCTATATTTACCAACCTTTCTGTCACCTCCAAAACAGACTGAGTTCAGACGGTATCTGTGACAATCGGAAAGGATGGTCTAATTCTTAGGGAAATATTATTAGCGACCTTCTTCTGTTAATTCTCCAAACAAAGCCAAAGCCCCGAAGTCAAGTTGATTTCCTGTGAGACGAATCACCAGTGACCTTTAAATCGGAAAGAAAACTAAATATTTTGTAGTGAAAGATCCACTTGATTCAAGCGCTGTGGGGGCCTGCGAAATATTATTCGCAAAATACCCGACCTTAATTCTGGCATCCGTATGGCGTAGATTAAAGGATTTAGCAGCGAATTTGCGAAGAATAACATAAGGGCTATCATTTCGACTTGAAACCTTCCTTTAGGGGAAAGGTTGATAGAGGAGCGGTATTTGAATATGTCGAAACTGAACCAAATCGCACTTGGCAGAAACGTTACCCAAGATCCTAGGGTGACAAGAAACAATGTACTAGTCAGTTTTCTTTCCCTCAGACCGGCTGCACCATGGTGTTGAGGATGACGACTGCGTCGGACTTTGAGAAAAATGGCAAAATAAGAAACACAGATAGCAAAAAGAAGACTAAAAACAAAAGAAAAATAAATAATTAAATCAGGCAGATCTCTGTTTAAATATAGTTTGAAAAATATGCGTCCTCCTTCCACTGCTACAGGTGTAAACCAAATAAAGGAAGTTACCACTCCATATACCCATGGACTGATAAAACGATGTCTGAACGGGAAGAATGTTGCATGTGCCCGTTCCAATGAAATAACAGCGAGATTGAGCAGTGAGGAGGAAGGAAAGATAAACTCTAAGGCTCTCTTCATTTTGACCAGCCAAGTATTATTTGTTGTGTCGTACTCCCTCAGACTACAAAAGCTTCCAATCTTTTCAACGCTCAGAGGCTCACTGATACCTCCAGCCAAGAGATCGACTATAGCAAGATGGATGATCAAGTATGTACTCTTCCTCTGTAGCTGGCGCTGCTTCACAAATACAATAATGGTGATAATGTTGAGAACGACTATCGCCAAGGATTCAGCGCTGAGCACAACGATCCACCGGTTGCAATGTAATTCGGAATTGATCATCTCAACTTTCTGGCTCGCGTTCTCATAAGTCAGGGTCGTTGATGGCTTTGGCTGTTTACAAGAATCTTCCTAATGCTCTTAGTATGAATTCGAACATACGAGTTATAATCGTGGCAAACAATATTAACATATGCACAATTAGAATGAAAGATGACTTTTTTCAGATGCACCAGTTTGATTCCGAGCCTTGGAAGAATAGCTTAGTAAATAATCATTTTCAACGCTGCTGGAGTTCCGAATGTTACCACGAACACCATTTTTTGGTATGAGCAGTTATGGCAAAAGTAATTTGCTTGTCTTCAATGTTATCCAGCGTTTGATTACCACTCCTCTTTTGGATGAATGATGCGGATGCTCTTTGACATTTCTATTAAAAGCATAGCGTGAATTGCTTTCAATTTCATTGATTTTAATTTCCGCTCGAATGCGATAGAAACTTTTAAAATTACAAACCCTGTAATTTTGAGAATGAAGTCAATTTTTTTTCCTTTTCTTTCATTTTTTTACTTAATACTGTATAATGAAACTTTTTTTCAGTTCTGGTTTTCATAAAGGGAGCGTAATACTCAAGAAGCCAAACCAATGGAATCTTTTTGAACATATGCAAGACCATATACTGAATAAACATTGCGATTTTATTCGTTATTGATGGGACGTGAAAATTAATGAGGTTTTTTTGAGCGAAATTAGAATGCGGCTCTTTGTTTCTCTAAAATGATTTAGAACCCAGGAAATAATTTCAGTCCTCGCAAGAGCCTTCAGGTTCTGGCAGTTGCAAGGCTCTCAAAAGGTGCTGAACAGCCGATGTCAATTGTTAACATATCTGACCCAGGTAACTAGTCCTTTTCGCGTCACGATGGATTAGCTCGGATGTTATAGGGCAAGTATTATTCTTCTCCTAGCAGCCGTAGAGAAGCACAACCTCCCGCGTCGGGGAAAATTTGGGCCAATAGAAAGAAAAGTTAATTCGTGTTAACGGAAGTAAGAGTTAATTAAGTAAATGACTGAAAAACGTTTATTTGGCGAACCCAACACATTACGCAAGTCAAATCCAAACCAGATTTTCAAACACTTCGCCAATGCGGTTACATTATTTGGGAAAAAATTGCCCAATCTTTTTTTAGAGACAGAGCTCAGATTGCATTGGACTGAAATGACTGAAGCAAACGGCCAAATATAATCCATTTACAGAAATTGACGAAATTCGTGTTGGCACCAGGCTTTCACTTAACTGTACTTCGTGATTAATCAAGTTTTCAAAAAAAGAGCAGTCTACTCAGATTTTGCCAAATCAGGGGCGCAATACAGGTTAAAACGGAGTAGCAGCGTAAGAGTTAGCGGTCAGAATAACAAGGGGAAAAAAAGCGCTTCACGCGACAAGAGTAGCCAATCAGATTCTACCTAAAATGATTACAACAGTTGGAGGGTGTCAAGTAGGGAGTCAAATAGCGCAGAAGAAGTGTACAATGTCGACATTCCCTGTCTTAAGCAGTGATTCCATAATCCCCTCTTCAAATATCACCTACTTTTTGTTTACCTCATGATATGTATTCCGGAGACCACACTTCAACAGATGTTTTTATATCATCAGAGAAGTTCAATTATTTTTTTTATTATTACTTTCTGAATCAATTATACTGTCACTATGGAAATTAATAATGATTGGTCTTAATTACTACTCACAACGTTTTGTGATCTATATGAAATTCAGAAAACTGAAATATAATGATTTTATGCTGTCTCACTGAACTAAGACGAGACCTTTTTGTTTTCGGTGCTTACTCAAAGGAGTGGAAAATTACCACAAACACTATTGGTATCACCTCTAACTGATACATCAGTTCAGAACAGAAAAACATAATGAATAATTGCTGTTGCTCTACTTGCTATCTATAAAAATTAAAAAGCTACAAAGTAGGGTAGCACAAGCCCTTCCTTTTTCTGACTATGACCCTGATACATAACTATTCAAAGTCGAAATTGGACAAAGAATCTTAGTATTTAGAGTCTCATACTTTTGGAGGCAGGGTGGCTGAATGTTAGCAGTCTGGTAAGGGCGCTAGACTTGTAATGTGGTGGTCAAGTCCACCTTGCTCATTGGCTGCGCTTTGTAGATAGCCAATTGGTCTGCCCCCTGCCAGTTGGGATTATCAAACAGTTTATTTAACCATTCATTCATTCGTATATTTATTCAATCATACGTATTGGTCTTGAAAGCCCACTGGGGAGTGGTCAATTAAGTATACATACTTATCTACATAGATACATACTAAAACGGCCGAGAGAATTTAAACTCTTTGTATTCTCTCCAAACGGCCCAGTTATTTATGAGTCCCTCAGGAGCTTGTTCCTGAGTAATTCAGGTCTAAATTCATTACGCCGTTGGACACTACCTTCTATAAATGTGCTAACTATCCCATCGCCACCAAATAATTATTTTCGAAAAAGTTGAATAGTAATATAATTGTTTGCCTGAAAATATCAGGAAAGCGGGATCTCTGAACTAATTCAAGAGAGAAAATTACTTTTCTAATAATTAAAGACGAGGCATTTATGGAAACAAAAATCAAATAATCTTAAAACTTAGAAGAACAGTTTTTAATTGAGTATTAAAAGTGATCCTGGATTGTTTGGAATTTCTTTACTTCGCTCTGTGATTGGTCCAGAATACTCGCGCCACCATCTCCGTCGCTTTGAGTGGTATTTGTAATTATTTTGCTTTTAGTTTTTCGACGTTCAATTAAAAAACTGGTCTATGCGTTAATACCAGCGGAGTTTGAGATGTGTATTTGTTAGTATCTGATTGTATCTTAACGAGATCAAGGAAAGATTTGCAACTTGCTTACTTACTTACTAACCTTACTAACTTACTCACTTACTTATTTACTTACTTACTCACTTATTTCCTTACTTAACTACTAGATAACTAACTTACTTACTTATTTACTTACTTACCTACTTACTTACTTACTTATTTACTTACTTGCATACATGCATACAAGCATGCATGCATACATAATTACTCAATTTCTTAATTACTAACCTATTTACATATTTATTTACTTACTTAGTAGTTTTACCTAACAGACAGCCGGAATTCCTTTTCAACCTCCTAATAGCATCATAACACTCATCTGAGAACCGATCTGTACTAACACTGAAAAGGGAAGATTGGACAACCTTAACTTGTTCTCTTCAGGCATTTTATTTTTGCAAGTTAACTGGGCTTTGGTAAAACAGTCAATAATAACTGATAGTAATGATAACATGATAAATGATAAGAGTACTTAATGTGCAGTACTCCTAAGATTAAAAAAATCAAAGGTTCTCAAAGGGGAAAATCGACTGGGCTTAAGCGGTTTGTAGACTTACGAAATATCATTTGATTTATAGCTGCTCTAAATTCTGGCATCCGTATGGCGTAAATTATAGGATTTATTAGCGAGTTGAATGTCACAATTGTCAGTACTGCCATATAGATGTTAAAAGTTATCTGTTTGGGAAGACTATTAGATAGCTCCGGAAAATTAAACACACCCCAGAAGACCACCTTTGGTAAGTAAGTTAACAATGATCCGAGGGTGACGAGAAATAATGTACTCGTCAATTTTCTCTCCCTCCGGCCGACTGCGCCATGGTGTTGAGGATGACGACTACAACGAACTTTGATATAAATTGAAATATAACATACGCACATAAGAGAGAGAAGGATTGAAGAGTATAAACAGCGAATCAAAAATGGAGGGACGCGGTTGTCAGAAAAGGTGACTAATTCTATTTCTAACACGTTCACGGCTAAAGGCAGCAACCAAGTGAGAGCGATAATCACTCCATAAACCCGTTTCTTGATAAAACGATGTTTCAAAGGACGAGCTGCTGCATGTAGTCGTTCTAATGCAATTACAGCGAGGTTAAGGAGAGAGACTTGATAAAATGCATGGCTTGCAATTATTCTTAATTTAAGTAACCAATTGGGGTTAGACCTTAACTCCCATAGATGACAGAACCCATTTCCATTATTGAGAATGAGCAGAGGCCCTACAACCACTCCGACCAAGAGATCGACTGTTGCAAGATGGATGATGAAGTATATGCTTCGGCGCTGTAGCCGGGGCAGCTTCACAAAAATAATAATGGTGATGAGATTAAGGCTGACTATCGCCAGACTTAGAATGCCGAATACAACTAGCCAGGGAATGCAATGACAGGCAGGAACAGGTATCGCGTCCACGTTGCTCGTTTCACTATAGGTAATGTCGTTACTGCTGTTGGTAGCCATCAAGTTAGCGCTGAAATTGGGACCCTACCAGACGACCTGTGAATGGAGAGAAACTGTTAAAGATTTTACAGTCAAAGATACATTGATGCAGAACCTGTCATTTTATTGTATTTTTCAAAGTTTCAGCTGGTAGCAACATATGCTTTTGGATTTTGGCATTCCAAGAATACACGACAGAGGGCCATTTGATCAAAAAATATGGGCTGATTGTCAAGCACTTTTGTTAAATATTTAAGAGAGAGAGCTCTTAGAGTTTGTAATTTATAGTTACATTAGTTTCTCTTTTTTTTTTTTTTTACAAAATCCTGCAATAAACCGATTCTTAATTGCAAGCCTTTTCACGATGACTCCCTGAACCCAGCTGGTTCGATTAGCAAGAAAAATCTGGCTTCTTGTTGATAAGAGTTACGAATAATTTTTGAGCGGTATCGCGATCCTTATAGAGTTGGTCCCAGTTTTGCTTAAGAAAAAAGACTACAATATCTCATGGCACTGTCGCTTCGCTTTTGCCGCATGTGATCCGCTAAAATTAACAATTAGTTCATGCTTAGTGTTTATACATCGATTAAAGGATGCGCGCCGAAAAATTGGGAGCACAAGAAAAACGCACAAGAGTTGCTCGAGGCTTAATAGTCGCTAGACTGTGAATTTGTCATTTGCGATTACATGCTATTGCTCTCTCTAATCGGTATTAAACTACTTAACACCATTCCAGTTTTGAAATTTTTCTATAATTAGCATGTATGAAGAAGTTGAGAATTGTGAGGGTGACACTAAAACGTTGCGCAATAAACTGATTTGTGGTTGCCACCAGCAATATCAATCTCTGTTTGGGAAACAAGCGCCCTGCTCCATAGCGACACTCATGACACAAAAGCACCGGGTTTTTTCCGGCTCTCCATTAGGTATGAAAAACTGGCGAGATATCAAAGTTTTTGCTATGCAGAAAGCGTTAAAATCTCCAAATAAAAAATTTCCAGGCCGGTTTTTAGCCTTCTCATAGGAGCAGATTAAAACACCTTAAAAAAGAGAAAGATTGGCGTTAAAAGATTTCAGACAATGTCCCATTTCAGTTGGCAGGGATGAAATTAGGAGGCACTTAGAGCGCATAAAAGCAGGGAAGCAGTTCAAAGGCGGCAACAGGTCCTCGCACTCCTCGCCAATACTTGCATGCGATCAAAATAATGCAGTATAGAAGTGATAGTTGCCACTATAGTAACAACGTGCACTTAGACCATGTTTCGGCCTAACTTAACGACAAATATTGGACAGAGTTGATGCCTACCAAAGATTCGTTCACACCTCATTAGATAATGATCTCCTGTCTCAAGAAATACATCCTGACAAAATTCTAGCAGGCCTATAAGTGACCATTAGCAAGAACACGGTAAAATATGCCTGCTACAGACAAAGTGAAAAAGAAACAAACTATATCTTACAGTAAGTGGGTGAATCCACTGTACTAAGTATGAAGATCCTCTGAGTTAACTTGAATTTAAGGCAGTCTAAAGGAAAATCGCGATGGTGTGCGCTGCTTGAGATCTGGATCAGAACCTGAAAAAATAAGGAATGAAATAAGCAAAGTACACATTGTTGGAAAATGTGACAAATGTTAAAAATTCCCTCCTCTAAGATTGGAATTTGATCTGACGTCGGACATAAGAAAATTTGAGTGGTCAGTTTTCTTAGATTTCGACCATAAAAGCTAGTATTAGCGTGCCTTAAACACAGATTCCCTCAGTAGTTCTGTGGATTGATTTGTTTAACGAATTTGATTTGAACGAGTTTCAGGTCTTCCTTTTTGGTGGCACAAAAAACACAAATCTTTAAAGATTTTAACATGACGAATTTGAATTAGTTTTCTAGAACCAAGGAGAAAACATGAACACGAAAATTTGACTTCAAGTTACCCACAAACGTTTTCAAATCCGACTCACCACTTAATTTTACAAGAGTGATCGCGAACTCGAAAGATCGTCTTATTCTAACTGTGACTTTGCAGTCTTAGTTATGAAAAAGAGAAAATAAAATTTCTTTAAGATACTATTTTCGAGTATGAGCTCCGCCTCCTTTGATTGTACCACCCACAGAGCCTATAGATTCTGCAACAAACACAGATGCCTTAGGGGTCAATCTTCCTGAAGTAAGTTCTGCCCACTTTCCAACTCTAAAACGTTCCACCCTATTCATCTCCTTTCCCTCTGTTTTTTTTATCTTAATCCTACTACCTAATCCTTCCTCAATAAGTATTACAGCTTAAACTTTCGTTCTTGTAATCTTGTATCGGCTCCTTAGCGCGCGACCGTATGCTTTTATCGAACAAATTATCCCTCGAACCTCTGATTAAAAACTTTGGTAAACTTATGCACCTTTATTTCTGTTTGGTCGGCCAATAAATCGTTTCCTCTTGACTTTGAACGCTCCAGTGGAATACAGATGCGTCACGATTACATACCTATCATTCTAGAAGATGTTAAGTCGATATTTTGTCTCGTTCTCTTGGTATATGGAATGATTGTACATCAAATGATTTTATACCGCAAGAATAACGTGAAGAAAACGCAACAACTGCGTTTTGAAAGAACTTAAGAGAGAATTCTATCATTAAGAGAGAAGTCTATCAAAAAACCCATGGAATTTATGATGCGTGACTCTGCCCGCTACTCTCTATTTCATTAATGTCTTTTCACCATTGTATTCATGTCTCTTGCAATTTTCTTTACTTTTTTCTTGTCTTTTTTTTTTCTTCCAAATTCATATCTGATCTCTAGCTTATTGACTTATTTGATAATGACAAAAATGGAACGTCGAAAGGTCGTGGTACACAACAAAATTTTGGACCCAGATGGTTCTGAATTTTTCATTACAATTATGACGTATTGTGGTTACTTTTCAGACAAATCTCTTCTTGTGCGTTTGTCAAACAAATGTTTCAATTAAATTTGCCCTAAAGGAAAAATCTGCAAAGAAATCTGCCCGCTACAAGTAAACAGTCGTAGCAACTGTGTGTAGTCTAGGTCAGTTTGTTTTTTGCGGCTCAATTTCAGCTTCTATCTCACAATTGGAAGGCATCCGAGATTTTTGCTTCGTTGCTATCATGAAGACTAAGAAAACACATTTTTTCTGTATTCATCTTAGTCCCACTCGCGTTGGTGTTTGAATTCAACGTACACTTTGTAATCTATAGTTTACATTGCCGACTAACTGTGTCTCCGGCCCCGGGCAATATTTCAGACACTATTTCCCTCAATTTATTATCAGGGCGTCCTTTACAACTCATTCAACGCGATTGTTAAGTTTGTCAGAATTCCTATAAGTGGACTTACCCTGAGAAATTTCACACAGGCAGGGGTGTAGTAGACGTTCCCCTTTCCTGAGCGATAGAAAATCATATGAACATCTTAACAAACAGTCATAAAACCGAAGCCAATAAAAACTTGATGGGAAGACTCATCAAACTTCGTGCTTAAATTTAGCTTGCCGGTCATCGATATTCCTAGCCTGGGCTCATTAAAAATATCAAAGTGTGTATCAAACCTTGAGACAAATATGAAATTTGTCATTCAGGATATTGGTAAACCACACAAGGGCTCTTCCAGTTAATTTCTTCAAATGTCGTGTCAATATTTACAAAGGTACCTTGGTATTGACGATAATTGAACTATAAAATCTACGAAACATTTCAGAGGATGAATAAGCAATGATCTTTTTAAGGACATCAACAAGTGTTATCTAGCATATACAAAAATATGTCTTTTGTCTGGTGTCGCCACTCAATAAATTGTTAGGGTGCCAGTATATTATTTTTTTGTTTTCGAACACTCTTAAAAAAAATCAGCTTTTTGCCATCATGAAGATTAACACTCAGCCAATAAGATTTGCTTTAATTATCAAGTGCAAGTATTCTTTCCATTTTGCAATCTTAATTTGTTTTATACTGGAAAAAAAGCCTTATTCCTTTGTCGACTGACTGCCACAATTAGCGACCTTAGATGCTGTTGATGGACTTCCCTTCAGTATTTTTCGAATGGACGACAAAGCAAACAATTTTTTCTCTCGAAGCGATGAAAATCCACTTGACGGACATTTTAAAAGCTCTTCGTATTACAACATATCACAGCGAAATATTGCAGCATCCGCGATGGTAACGCCTAATTCTAACATTAATTTTTTCAACTGACCTTCATTTGATAAATGAGCAATAAAAACACCAGGTGGCAGTTTTCTTTCTCGTCTGTGCTAGCATTTAACCCTAAGGTCAATTTTGTGGTCAATTTCATTCCGATATTGAATACTGTTGAGTAAGTTTATCAAGAAATGACTATTTATAGAAGTTGTTTTTTAAGATGTCTAAGGTTGTCTGTCATAAGTAGGAGTTCATGGTAAATTTTTTAAACACTTTGATTGTGTTCCTATTCTAAGAGGACTCAAGAATGTGTTGGGCTATTAGGCATTGTTAAGGATAATGACGTAGGACAGTAACATCCAGGACAATGGTCAAGTGAAAAACATCTGAATACGAACTTACAGTCATGGTGAAAAATCATAAAACGAAGAAGATTTTATTTTGAAATCGCTAAAACTTTTCAGGCTTTGACGAATAATAATTTTCTAGTTTTGTCTAAAGTTATGAATGTGATGTCTCAGGCAATTATAGACACCTGTTTAAAGTTTGACAAATTTATGAATTGGTGAATGATAAGTATGCGTCTATCAAGGAGGCACGCGGGAAGTTTGAAGAGCACGAGACAAGGGTTGCTCGAGGCGTAGCCAGGGGCAAGACTTTTAAACATATTTACTTTAATTTTCATTTTAAGTTGCACAAAGTCCATCTTAATTGGGATGGAGCAGTTCTAACTTCTTGAAAGTTTTGAAACTCGCGGCTAAACGATGGTTTAAACTGGGAGAGAACTTTGCAAAAAAATTTAGCTGCACGCGTCAAGATGTAATGCGCATGGCTGTATGCACGTCGAGATTTCTACCATAATGGCTAGACACGG